TCTCAAATCCCTACCCTATTTCAGACCCAAAAATGTGGTTTTTCATACCCGTTTTCTTCCATTTGTAATTAGTGTATTTATAGTATATTACTATTTTAACATTTCAAATTTCTTTCATATCACTACTTCAACGGTTTATATTTTTGTACACTTTTAACGTTCGCTTTTTTCTTATTTAAATTTTCACGCGCTATTATTAATATTATCATATTGCAGACTAATTGCAACGTCTTAGTTTAACCCTATCATTGTATGTAAAACCCTGAAGAAGGAAGGCCGTGCCTTCCGAATTATAGTGAAATACATATTTCCAACTGTAAAATCAGCCTTGCTTCTTTTGTTTCCTTATTTCCAATTATAGCTGATTACATCCTTTATTAGGATCCGGTCCTTCTAGTCCTTCTTTTTTGTAACGTTGGTCATCGCTTCGGAAATTGAATCTCTAAAATCCATACCCGATTTCAGACCACGGTCAGACCTGGTGTCTAAGAAATTGTGTCTTCATTACTTAGATTAGAACGCCATCAATTCGAATCTAGCCTGAGTATCAGGCCTTCGGAAGGGGCTAGGGGAGAAGAGATTTTAGATGGGGAAGGGGGGGAGAAGAGAAAGCTCTCTCCCTTTTTCGCTTCCATCTTTCCCCTTTTCCTCCAGAAACGCCTGATACTCAGGCTAATTCGACTCGGATTCCAGCACTTACTGTAACGGACTGCCATATCGGTTTCAAATGTACAGCGGTTTCCTCGGTATTTTATATATTTATTGACGACCAAAAAACAATATTAATAATTACAGCACCTGATTAAAAAAAATAGTAGCAAAACTAATTACAGCCTTTACACACTAAAAAAGTAAGTAAACAAATAAAAATATCAATAAACAAAGTATTAGAGGATAAAAACCTGTCAGTTGCCTCACATATTTGTTTTGCCACCATTTTCAATGCGATATTGTACAAAGAGCTTAGTAGGTAACAATTCATCTAAATTAGGTTTCTTTGCGATGTTTTTGCAAGTATACATCAAGTATATCTTTTGCAGTAATACCAAGTCTGCTTAGAACTGAATTTGACATTTGCAATGTAAAGGAGTCTTCGAACGTGTTTATAAAATTTTGTTTGTTTGAAAGTTGTACGTCCTTCTTATGATAATCAAACACCCTAAAGTTTTGGAAAATAATTCATTTGACTCTTGGATATGAAAAGGTGTGTTGAATTAAATCTGGATTAAGGCAGAAAGGACACTTGTCATCAGAGGTTAATTTATATTTCAAATAGTTCTCTCTTGGTCGTGATTATTGTGTGGATAACCTTTAAGAGAATTTTCTAAACTTATTATCTTTCGAGGCCATATATTCACAAAACAAGCACTGCAATCAGGAAGTTCTGAAAAACTTTTCTTCCAAGACATTATTGCGGACGGTACAGGAGCAAGTTTCCTAATGAACAGACTCTAATAGTTTTTGCAGCAAAATTAAGTTAAGGCTATAACTGTTCTATCCTCTATCTGTCAGTACTCTGACGTTGCGTCAAGCAGATCAGGAACCGGGAAACCAAGTGCCTTTCAAATCTGGAGGTATAGCAGCATTTAATTGAAAATAATGAAAATAGTTAACTTTAATTTCAAATTTACTTTGAAATTCTTTCAAGGTCAGAAATTTACCGTCTGAGTTCATTAAATCACTAATAAAAGCAACACCGTAATCAAACCATTGTTTCCAAAAGACACCATTCCTTTCTATCATAATTTTTCTATTATTCCAAAGAATGAGGTCATCGTTATTGTCGTCCTCTGAGAATTTAGTTAGTTCTTGAAAGTAATCTAGTATTACTAATTCACGGTAATTAGTTATTGTTATATAAAGAGATATCAATCATCTTGCATTGGGTGTACCCCTTTATAGAACACTTCTCAGGATTAGTACGCGTTGATTAAGATCTCCGGTGGAAACTACCTGTAATACGTGCACAGCTCCTAGCCTGCAGTGCAGGCGTTTTGTTCGAGCGCGCAATTTGCTCTCAAAAGCGCCATGTTGAAACTTCCCGAAGAGAGGAGGAGATGGGGCGAGTCAAAGGGAGCGGGGAGGGGGCGAGGAGAGAGAAGAGAATTTTCTCCCCTCCCCCTCCCCCCTTTTCTTCTTTCGCCCTCGCACCTACCATAAGGGTTACTATTTCTACTCTCCCCTATCTTCCATGCCATAAAATCAAAGATGGCGGCTACAACAATATTACGAACACGAACATGGTTTCGCCCACCCAAAATACGCTTGCACTGCAGGCTACACAGCTCCCAAAATTGTTGGTCCAACAGTGTTGGGACTTGTTGCGTCCGTGTTGGCAGTGGTGTGCAAACGGATGCAACAACTCCCAACAACATGCAACAGGGTGTGCAAACGGACGCAACATGTAACATCCAACAGTGTTGCGTCCGTTTGCATGGAGATTAAACATCAACCTCCTCCACTAAATGGACACGATAAAACGATTTCTAAATACCTTCCT